ATCAACTATCATTACATATAGAGACTGATAGGTGTTTGTGTGTAGGAGAAGGAAGCTCAAAGGAAGTTGACATGAAGTGGCTAATTGTGGATGAAGACCACCTCTGTTTGAGAGAGGGTTTTACTCACTAAATAAATCTCAAATAATAATAATATGTCGTTTATTATCAGAATTTATGAGACTTGTATTTAAAGGATCCCTAATTAATAGGGTTTCCAAATCTGATCTTATGAAATACGATCACCGATTTCTTCTTCGTTATCACCATCTTCTCATTTCTAAATGCTGCTTTGATTGATTCTCTCCAATGTAATTCTCTCCAGAAAGCAAATGACCATGTGACAGAGTAGCATAATGTCCACCTCCAGTCCCTAAAGGCTAAAAGAACTTTCCTCTTTCCGGTTTCACAGGGCCTCCAAGCCAAGAACATGGTAGGCTTGCTAGTAATTGGTCCATGATGAGTACCTTCCAATGTTGTTATCAGGAACTAAGCTATGAGATTCGGCCATTTTCTTCAAAAGTCTGCCTAGAATTTGCTTTCCATGATAACGTACAAGAAATGTTGTCAAAATGAATGCCTCGCCAGAGCACGACCGAGCCAAAGGAGGAAGACAACATCAGATTGCTTTTTGAAACAGAATGAACGAAGAGTGCGGAAGAGACACTATACATGAAAATATAGACTTTGTACTTTGAAAGCATGTTTCATATTTCAATATGAATCAGAGCCTATAATTTGCTGATTTTAGCATTTTGTTCTTCATACCGAGTTTAAAAACAAGGTTTAGATTGGATGGGCATTTTGGAGGAATATACCTAAACACTTGCATCAATTCCATTCTAACTTGTACAAGAAATCAATGCAAACAAGAAACCAGATTCACTGTCAAACTCATTATAAGTTGATACAATAGTAAACAGTAGACATGACAAGTTACTAATAAGAGAAAGATCAAAATTGTTGATAATTACTCTTCCAAGAACAAAATCCGAAAGTACTATATTGTGAAGCATGAATGCTCGCAGTTGATTTGCAAAGCCAATCACAAGTACAAATTTGACACCAAGGGTAGTACGGTGAAATGACAATATGGTTACTTGAGAAGCAGCGGGATTGGTATTTTTATCTACTAGGAAGAAAATGAAAATGAATATTTTAAGTATTACTAAACTTTTATGAGCTAAACAGGAAGGAAAGTATGTGAAGCACATGGACCATGTATCAGCGCAAAGGCATGCAATGAAAAATGTGCATCTCTAGGTTTCAAAGATGGGGGAATTTGTTTAGGGAATGCATCTCTAGGTTACAAAGAAGGAACAAATGATCTATCTTATTTTTGTTGTTGCAAGTTTGATGGACTTCGTGGACGTCATATGTTCAATCTTCTCACGCTAAACGTGAGATTAAATAATTAAATATATTTTTAATCTATTTTAATATGTAAATGTGTCTAACAAATCATATGATTTCTAATATTCATAAACTTACAAAATGATATGCATTGTGCATAAGTATAATCAAGTTAAATTTTGATGCCATCAATTTTAATATCTTTATGTGCAATTGATATGTTATTTATTTCAATATATTTTAAGTGTAAAATTAATTTTTATTATTCGTACAAATTATAGCGTATGCGATAAATCATTTAAATTTTAGATTTATATGAATTTATCTGACATCGAAAAACAATATTTATTTTTCAATAATGAAATGGGTTAAAAT